GTCCACTAGAAGGGAACAGAAACGATGCTTCCTCTCCCTTCCTCCTCCCTCCTCTCCCTCCTCTTCTTCGTCCCTCCTCGTTCCTCTCCCCCCTTTCCCCCTGGGGGGGGGACCGAGCCTTCTGTGAGGTCTTGGTGGCACCTCTGGGGACTTCGGAGAAGGAGGCTCCCCGCCCCAGAGCAACGGGGAGGAGGATGAGGCGGAGGAGGAGACGGAGGAGGAGGAGGAGGAGGAGACAGCGGGGGAGGAGGCGGAGGAGAAGGCGGAGGAGGAGGAGGAGGAAAATGAGGGAGAGAGGAGGAGGAAGAGGAAGAGGAGGAGGAGGAGGAGGAGGAGGAGGAGGAGGAGGAGGAGGAGGAGGAGGAGGGAGGAGGAGGAGGAGAGAGGAGGAGGAGGGAGGAGGAGGAGGAGGAGGAGGAGGAGGAGGAGGAGGAGGAGGAGGAGGAGGAGGAGGAGGAGGAGGAGGAGGAGGAGGAGGAGGAGAGGAGGAGGAGGAGGAGGAGGAGGAGGAGGAGGGGGGGAGGAGGGAGGAGGGAGGAGGGAGGAAGGAGGAGGGAGGAGGGAGGAGGGAGGAGGGAGGAGGGAGGAGGGAGGAGGGAGAGGAGGAGGGAGGAGGGAGGAGGGAGGAGGGAGGAGGGGAGGAGGGAGGAGGGAGGAGGGAGGAGGGAGAGGAGGGAGGAGGGAGGAGGGAGAGAGGGAGGAGGGAGGAGGGATGGAGGAGGAGGGAGGAGGGAGGAGGAGAGGAGGGAGGGAGGGACGGGAGGAGGGAAGGAGGGAGGAGGAGGAGGAGGAGGGGAGGGAGGAGGGAGGAGGAGGGAGGAGGGAGGAGGGAGGAGGGAGGGAGGGAGGAGGGAGGAGGGAGGAGGGAAGGAGGGAGGAGGAGGGAGGAGGAGGAGGAGAGGAGGAGGAGGAGGGAGGAGGAGGAGGAGGAGGAGGAGGAGGAGGAGGAGAGAGGAGGAGGAGGAGGAGGAGGAGGAGGAGGAGGAGGCGGAGGAGGAGGAGGAGGAGGAGGAGGAGGAGGAGGAGGAGGAGGAGGAGGAGGAGGAGGAGAGGAGGAGGAGGAGGAGGAGGAGAGAGGAGGAGGAGGAGGAGAGGAGGAGGAGGAGGAGGAGAGGAGGAGGAGGAGGAGGAGGAGGAGGAGGAGGAGGAGGAGGAGGAGGAGGAGGAGAGGAGGAGGGAGGAGGAGGAGGGAGGGGAGGAGCAGAGGGTCGGACCAGAAGTACTCAGAGGGCCCTGGCCGTGCCCGGGAAGGCTGCCTGCCGCTTCGCGTGCCCCATCGGCCCGAGCGGGGGCCGGGACGGCGCAAGTCCTCATCGTCGGCTTTTGATGCGTTGCCAGGAGGTCGCCTCGCACTCGGCTGCGTGGTCGCCGGGGCCCGCGCGGGCCCCGCCCGCTGGGAGATGTGCTTGCGAGGGCTGAGGGCGACGAGGAAGAGGAGAAGGAAGAAGAGGCAAGGATGTGAGGAGGAGGAGGAGGAGGAGGAGGAGGAGGAGGAGGGAGGAGGAGGAGGAGGGAGGAGGAGGAGGAGGAACAGGAGGCGGACCAGGAGGAGGATGAGGAGGAGGACGCGGAGGAGGAGGAGGCGGAGGAGGAGGAGGATGGACACGGCCATCGGGATGGGGTACGTGCCAGTGACAAGGCCATCCAAATCATTTTCGAAAGGCCCTCGGTCATGACCGATGGGGCCGTGCGACGCCTGGGTGCGCCGCGTTCGCGTCGGCCTGGGCGTGGGCCCGCGGGGATCTGGACTCGGACGAGGCAGAGTTTAGCTTACCTTTTTTGTTGTCCTCCCTTTCTACTCCCCCTACGGTCGGGAACTTTGGGATAGCGTGCTGCTCCGCTGGTTTTGGCCCACCGCGCCTCGCTGCGACACGCTATCCACTTCGCGGCCGCACATCGTCATCGCCCAGAGTCTTTCCGAACCTCCCGCCCCGCGGAGCGGAGCGACACGCTTTCCGTTCGCGCGGGATAGCGTGTCGCCGGGGCCGTTGTGGCGCCAGTGGCGACACGCTATCCAAAAGTTCCCGTCCGTACTTTCCGTCATTTTTCCACGCTTCTCCTTTCTTTCTCCTCCCGCGTCCTTGCTGTTATTCTTCCTCTTCTTCCTTCGCCGTCCCTTCCCTTTCCTTCCCCTCCATTCTCCTCCCGTCTCCTTCCCTTCTCCCTCTGTCCTTCATCGATTCCGATGTTCCGACGATCCGATGCGGCCCGATGTTTGTACGGCGCTGTTGTACATGCTGGCGTGGCCATCCGATTCTGTTTCGATTCCGAACCGATGCCAACCTATCCGACACGCGTTCCGAGTCGATTCGGTTTCCCGACACGATGCTGACTGACCGTGCCTCCCTGTACCACCCCCCTTCGGTCACCAGGCTTCTGCGCGGCCTTTCCCTGCCAGCTGCGGGCCGTCAGGAGGGCGGGGCGGAGGAGCAGGAGGAAGAGGAGGAGGAGGAGGAGGTGGAGGAGGAGGAGGAGGAGGAGGAGGATGAGGAGGACCAGTGTAAACTCATTGTGCATCAATCATGTTGCAGTAGACTTTCCTTCCAAGTTGTCTCTTCACAGGTCCCTACAACACTTTCTCCAAAAAGGATTGCTCTATAGGAGTTCTAACTCAAACCCTGCTAATTGGTCCGTTGCCCTCCCCACCCCTAATTCCTATGACCCCCCCTAATTCCTATGCCTATGCCTATGCCTCCCCCCTAGCTCCTTTGTCTACGCCTATGCCTATGCCTATGCCTATGCCTATGCCTATGCCTATGCCTATGCCTATGCCTATGCCTATGCCTATGCCTATGCGTATGCTCGCATGCGCCTGCTTGCTTCCGCTTGCTTGCTTGCGTTTGCTTGGTTTTGCTCCTCCCGTCCTGCTCTCGTCCTCCTTTCGTCCTCCTCCCATCCTCTTCTCGTCCTCCTCCTGTCCTCCTATCTATTTGGAGCCAACGCTGGCTGATATGATTTTAATTGCGGGAAGTGCTCCATTTGAAAACAACCGTTCGGGAATATTCTATCGCACCAAAACGCAGTTCTTGGGACTTCAACACAGCGAAGCAACGTGACTGTTGCGTCCTGACGCTCCTAAATCGCACCATAACGTTATCCGTAAGGGCTTCGCCCCCTGCCGCCGGCCCCCTCTCTCGGAGAATGGGCCATGGAAGAGCTAAGTCATGAGGCCTTGGCGCTGTCGTGAAGCAGTATCGAAACTTCATGCGAAGCCGATTCGCAATCAGCAAAACCAACTGATCACAAGAGGGGTTACCACACCTGGCGATTGGTAAGACGTGTATGGTTTACGGGCTTGGTTACCACACCTTGCGATTAAAGGGCCGAGGGAGTTCTCGCAGTTTGGGTTACCACGCCTTGCGATGGATGTGCGTGAAGGGTGGCACCGAATTTCAGAAATGTGGCAAATCCCCTGTGTTTTTGGACCCTGACCCCGCGGATCTGCGTGAGGGGTGGCACCGAATTTCAGAAATGTGGCAAATCCCATGTGTTTTTGGACCCTGACCCCGCGGATCTGCGTGAGGGGTGGCACCGAATTTCAGAAATGTGGCAAATCCCATGTGTTTTTGGACCCTGACCCCGCGGATCTGCGTGAGGGGTGGCACCGAATTTCAGAAATGTGGCAAATCCCATGTGTTTTTGGACCCTGACCCCGCGGATCTGCGTGAGGGGTGGCACCGAATTTCAGAAATGTGGCAAATCCCATGTGTTTTTGGACCCTGACCCCGCGGATCTGCGTGAGGGGTGGCACCGAATTTCAGAAATGTGGCAACTCCCCTGTGTTTTTGGACCCTGACCCCGCGGATCTGCGTGAGGGGTGGCACCGAATTTCAGAAATGTGGCAAATCCCTTGTGTTTTTGGACCCTGACCCCGCGGATCTGCGTGAGGGGTGGCACCGAATTTCAGAATGTGGCAAATCTCTTGTGTTTTTGGACCCTGACCCCGCGGATCTGCGTGAGGGGTGGCACCGAATTTCAGAAATGTGGCAAATCCCCTGTGTTTTTGGACACTGACCCCGCGGATCTGCGTGAGGGGTGGCGATTTCGAGCCCCCCCAGCAATTCAGACAACGCGCCCAGGGGGTGCTAAAAATCAGGTTTGGGCCTCCCCCCCCCTCGCGCGGTCAATCAACTAGTTACAGTAACCAGCAATAAGTCAACTAGTTACAGTAACCAGCAAGAAGCAGAACTGTAACACTGGAAACTACAAGCTACAACTGGTACAGGAAACTGCGAACCTCGCGCCTACAGCCTGGTGGCCCCACAAGGGGGCCGGCGGATTCCTGGGCCATCGACAAAGCGAATCAATCTGACTATTACGTGGGGACAAGTCTAAACCGTGCTTGAACGCCATTCCTAGGACCTCAACCATGCGAACCCTCAAACTGTTGCAGCTTTTTCAGACGACGAATGCGCGTGGCGCTAAGGCGAGAGCCACATTTTGAAAAGGAATCGCCGTCCATCCGCGAACCGCTCGACCTACCATACAGACAGGTCTGGGGGTGCGACAGGGGGGAGTTATTTTTATGGGAAAGGGATGGAGAAGGGTGGCCGAGGATGAGGAGGAGGATGAGAAGGATAATGGATGCCGATGCTGATTATGATGATGAGGATGATGATGATGCTGCTGATCATTGTGGTGCTGATGATTCTGATGATGCTGATGATACTGATTATGATGATGAGGATGACGATGCTTCTGCTGATTATGATGCTGCTGATGCTGCTGATGATGCTGCTGATGATGATGCTGATGCTGATGAAGATGCTACTGCTGCTGATGATGACATTAACGATGCTGCTGCTGATGCTGCTGCTGCTGATGATGATGATCCTGGTAAGGATGATGATGCTGTTCATGATGATACCGACGATGAACCTGATGATGATGCTGCTGATGACGATGTTGATGATGATGCTGATGATGAGGATGATGATGATGCTGATGATGCTGATGATGATGATGATGCTGTTGATCATGCTGATGGTGGTGATGGTACT